CCTCGGCTGCAGTGGCTGGAAGCCAAGAGACTTCGGCCTGCACAAGGGCCAGCGGACAAGGTGTGATATCTGCAGCAATCCCCGCTCCGTTCGCTCTGGGGCCAGGCTCTTCTAGGCCCCCTTCTTATGGGGCTGCACTGACCAGCCTCTGGGACGGGGCATTCACAAGCTGCCAATCTTTGCGTCTATCCCCATGGCCTTGGGCAGCCGATTACATTGTCTCTGTCTCCAGCCAGCTGATGTTACTTTGCCGCCACGTCTCTGGGCGAGCGCTTCCTTCGCCCGGCTCCTTTCGTTCCGTCGGCAATGCCTCCCTGAGTACGCGCACAAAGGCCCAGGCCTCGTGGCCAGTCCCTTCCAGCTGGGGCATCCACGTGCTGTGTTTTCCTAGCCGGGGGCGATGCTCTTTCTGCCCCCCCCCCCGAGTCTTCGGAGCCAAACTCTACTCAAAGGTCTGTGCCCCTCTTAGATCATGGCTTGGACAAAGCTCCACCTGTCACCCTCTCCTGGAAATTTTCACTGGAGCTCGTGGCAGAAGCATCCATTTCTGAAATCTCTAAGGTGGCCACCCTGGTCCCTTCTTCATCTTCGTGTGCCCTGACCTGTTGGAAAGAGAAGATGACCCCCGCCCTCTCTCACCAGAGCGGGGGAGAAGCACCATTCCATGGTCGCTGCAGCGGGGGTGGGGTGCATGTCCCCAGGCTGGGGGGCATGTCCCCAGGCTGGGGGGCAGCCAGACGGACAGACCGACTCTCTGCAATGTATAGCTGATAGCTGTCCCTTTCTCCGCGGCATCTGATCGCGGGAGTCCTCCCGCACCGAAAGGAAGGAAGAACCGTCCCTGACTCGACGCGCCATGCGCCCGATTTGAAGCACACGGCTCGTTTGTTTGTAGTCAGGCATGCGTGTAAGGATTTAGCGGAATCCAGGCTCCTGTGACATTCGGGACAAGACCTCAGCCCTCCGCGTTCGATGTCACGGACTGTCACTGCTTTTGCAGGTTTCAGATGGGCTGCGAAGAGGTCGTTCGATGAGGCCTGTGATTGACAGGCTGAAAAGACGTGATTGTCCTGCTGGGGCAGTAGTGGGCTATGGTAAGAGGCCAGAATTAGACTTTGTGTAGCAGACCAGAGAGGATTGTTGGTCTAACCCTGCCCCGGAGCCAGGTCCTTTCCAGACTGTCGGAAGAGAAAAGCTCCTGTTAGAACCTGCTCCCTTTCGTGGCTGGAAGCCAATGCAAGTGGCTCTTTGCACATGGCAGATTGACAGAGTCATCTGAAACCCAACCAGTTTCCTTTGCTTCTGCAGGGAAATTGTTCTCCGAGGGAGGGGGAGATTTCTGTTTAAGTAGGAGAGAAATGGGGCTCTGTGGGGCCCGGATGTCTGCCAGCGAGGATCAGATTCCAGGATTGGGGCCTCGGCTGAAGGTGGGGAGGTGGAAATCGACAGAAAAACCGCTTAGAGTTGAACAGAATCACCGTGTGTATTTTTCACTGTCATTAGCATGTGATTTGCATTCGTATTTGAATATACGAATCTATTCAGAATAGAATTCTGTAATTAGGATGAATAAATTGTGTAATTGTTCTGCGTTAAGTAACAGATGGCGCAGCCTCAGGCCTGTCAAACACTGAACGCTGCCACGAGGCCCGGCAGCAGCCACGCACGCACATCAACTAGGTCTTGCAAGAGCCCTTTGGAGCCCACATCGGCTCTCTGCTGAGGCCGGATCCTTTGATTCCGGTGGCCAACCCTGGCTACAGTTCCGTGTGCACGGTTGCGCTCCGGCTGCCTTCCTGCTTCCTCTCTGATCCTTTGCAGATGCGGCTAGAGTGACCTTCTCGCTTGAAAATGGGGAAATAAAATGCCAGACACGTGCCCACGCCCACATGGGCCCGTATGCACCGTCATCGTCGGCCATGGCCAGGCGAGGTGACGCAGCAGCTGTGCACAGTGCGGACGTTCCTCGTCTGCCCGGCACTCGCAGGAGGGCTGATCACTGGAGGAATTTCTTTCCGAGAGGTAGCTGGGAAATCCAAACACAGCTGAGCTGGGAACATCCCAGTGCTGCAGTGGGGTGTGAGCTTTTTCAGTCATCAAGCTACCGTGGGTTTATAAGCCATGTGGAGGTGTCTAAAAGTTTCCCTTCAGCAAGCGAGGCGCTTTGCTCATCCCGGACTCCGTCTGACGCTGAGCCAGCAAAACTCTGGCAGTGTGTGCTTACGTGTAAGTGCACGCGCAACCCCGTTGTCTGCGGGAACCTGGACCCCTAGTCAAGACACTGCAAAGTCACATAAACAGTCTGGAAACAAGCCTGAAGTCTGCTCGCAATGATGCAGATTGTTCGTGCTCAGAATGCTGAGCCCCTCTCCTTCCTGGAAATAATCTCTGGTCCGCTCCGGTGGCAAGGATGCTTCGCGGCAAAGTGTCTGCATGCTTCAAGCAGGACCGACGGTGCAGTTGTAACTGCCGGTGGTTTCAAAGACCGTGAAGTGGAGAAGACTTATTTAGGGAATGTGGGACATTCCCACGGGCTGGGCCTTTTTTTTCTCTGCTGAGCAACGTCTTTGGGAGAAGAATTGTACCTGGACCCGTGCGATGCGCCGGAACGATTTTGGAGCGTTCAGTTGATTACGCTAGGAGAGTTTCTCTGTGCTGGACAGTTCTCCAGTCGGGTTCAGTGGTTCTCTGCCCTGTCTGATGGCTGTTCGTGGACATAGGAGGAATGAAACCAAGCCATGTGCAAAGCTGGCAAACGATCTTGCCAGTTTCCCAGCATGGTGGTGCAGACTGGTATTTCACAGCCACAAATTTTCCCAAAAAGTGCCGTGCAAAAATGTGAAATTTCACGGTTTGAGGCAAGCAGTTGCCCCTGGTTCCAGTCAAATTTTGACTCTTGACATTTCAAAAACACAATGGCTTTCTGTTGACAATTTTCTGGGAGTTTGAGCTATTTTCGTCAAATAACAAGGCAGTCTAATCGCATCAAATGTTGAGATTTTTAATTACTAAAGCCCTTTGAAAGGCACACCTCTACAGAGGGTCACATTCTATACTGACACACCAGTGCAACTGAAGAGAGATCAGTATAATTAATCCAGTTTTACATCGGGGTGAGAGAGACGAATTTGGCCCAACTTTTCTAATTAAAACAACTATATACTGCTGGATTGGGGAGGAGGGTGCCGAGGGTCCTGTGCAGTTGTGAGCGAATCTGATCACATTATTGTTCTTTCTTCTCGTGCATTGATTTTTCAGCCAATATCTTGATTTACCTGGCTTCTTAGAGTTGATGCTCGTAACAGACTGTATTATAGACGCCACATGCTAGGTATGTTTTTTAAATATGTGCCACTTGAAAAATCCGAGTGAATGTTCTGGTTTTCCTGACGTCCTACCATGTGGACAAGGACCTGACTTTCCAACGTTCTGAACCTCGGCCGCTCTGTGCTATTTCAGCAGCGGCTGTGAGCGCTCCTCGCGTCTGAAAAATCCAACCACAAATACATATGCCTCTGCTTTGGCCCTGGCCTGGGGTTCGGAATTGCTTTGCATTGTCGTAATCCCGCTGTTTTGGTTGTTTTTAGATAATTGCTTATCAGCCCTATGGGAAGTCCGTGGATTGGTGGGCATTTGGAGTTCTGCTCTACGAGATGCTAGCTGGCCAGGTAATTGCATTTTAATTGGTTCCCATGGGATTGTGTGAGTTCCATCGGGAGCGGCTGTCGAGGCGCAGACGTGGGGAGCAGTGGGCGGGGCGGGGTTCCAGTCGGGGTCACAGGCCGGGGGAGGGGTGGCACATCTGGAAGAGATCCACCATGAAGCAGCCAGAGAAATGAAAGGGCCGGACGGCGACGGGCTGCCTAGCGGAAGATCAGAGGCCCGGCCGTTACACCCAAGGCAAGGAGGCTGCCCCTTAACCGGTCTCCTTTCTGCCCCACAGGCGCCCTTCGAAGGGGAAGATGAAGACGAGCTTTTCCAGTCCATTATGGAGCACAACGTCGCCTACCCCAAGTCCATGTCCAAGGAGGCCGTGGCGATTTGCAAAGGGGTAAGGGGCAGAGCTTGCTTGCTGGGTGGGGCAGCGCGGGGGGGTTAGGGGCTCTGTGCAGAATTACACGTGCAGCCGCCTGCCTCATTCAGGGGGGTCACATTGCGGGACCACCCGCAGAGGTGGCTAATCCTAGTGATCGGCGAGAACTTGTGTTACTGCGGTGGGGCAGAGTCTGGGGCGACTGGACGCCAGGCAGGAGTGTCTGGGGGAATTTCCTTGGCCTCTTTCGTACAGGAAGTTGGACCAGACGAGCCCTGGGGCCTGTTCTGGCCTTTAAAATCTCCGAGTAAGTGCATGCACCAAGCGGCTGCAAAAGGGCCATTCTGCTTGCTTGCCCCTCAGGTGGGGGTTTTGCAGCTCACAGGTGCTGCCTCCATTCGTGTTCCGGGGCTGGAGCACCCACAGGGGAAAATTAGTGGGTGCCAAACACCCACCGGCAGCCAAGCGCCTCTTCCCCCCGGCCTCTCGTGCATGGGTGGCCCTGCTCATCAGTTCCTCCTCCGCTGCCTCAGCGCTTCCGGAGTGCCATGAACAGCTGACTCGGGGCATTCAGGAAGCTCCAGGAAGGCGGGAGAGAAGGGGGATGAGGTGTGCTCCAGGGAGGAGGAGGGTGGGGATGAAGCAGGGACAGGGCATGGGATAAGGGGGGCGGGTCTGGGGCTGACCAGGGACAGGAAGGGGGGGCAGAGGCCTGGGGGAAGCAGGGCTCGAGCAGCCCCCAGCTAGAGGGGAAGTCGGTGCCTGTGTTGCACACTGCTGGAGATTTGCACCGTCTGCTCAGTGAGCGTTCTGCGCTGGAGCGGCGTTCCTTCCGACCCCGGAAGCGCAAGGGCTCGAGCCTTTCCCTAGCGCTGAGGGCATGAGCGCTAGGTATGACACGGCCACGAGGCAGCCCCCGGGGGAAGCCCAGCCGCACACGGCTCCGGGTGGAAGCGCCGGTGAGCGAGTGCCCGCCCCGTGCAGGAGGGGGAGCGCGCCTCAGAGCGCCGCTTTCCCCTTCCCTCCCCGGCTGCATCGCTTCTCCCACGCCGACTTCCTGCACGATCCTCGGAGGAGCCCTGGCACCTCCTTGGGAAAAGGCAGATTCCTCAGGCCGCTGCATTGGATGGATGAGGCGAAGCAGCGCCGTGCGGTGGGGGACCCGTTCCTACAGCACCTCTCTGATGTGGGGGTGCTGCAGGCTCGCCTCTTCCACGCAAGGGCCTCTTCGGGACTTCATACCTGTCTCAACGTGTCTTAACTACCTGCCGCCTTGTTTGTTCCACACCCTTGTGCTGCTGCTGTCACAGCAACGCTGGTGTGGGGACGCCTGGGGTCTAGATTCAGCACCCGGGTGTGGGGGGGTTTGCAGGATCTAGGCTTCATTTTACCGTAACAAATGCGCTTTTTAAAATGAGCCTCAGTATGAAGCAGTGAACTGAGAGCCAGCCCGGCAAAGACTCAAGCGCATGCCTCGCTTGAATTGGCCCTAAGCAATAAAAGAACATCAGAACGGCCACGCTGAGTCAAACCAAAGTCCAGTGTCCTGTCTGCTGACAGTGGCCAATGCCAGGTGCCCCAGAGGGAGGGAACACAACACAGAATCACCAAGTGATCCCTCCCCTGTCACCCATTTCCAGCCTCTGACAAACAGACACCATCCCTGCCCCTCCTGGCTAATAGGTATTGATGGATCTAACCTCTATGAATTTTTCTAGCTCTTTTTTGAAACCTTTTAAAGTCTTCCTCTTCACAATATCTTCTGGCAAGGAGTTCCACAGGTTGTCTGTGCACTGCATGAAGAAAAGTTTCCTTTTGTTTGTTTTAAATCTGCTACCTGTTGATTTCATTTGGTGACCCCTAGTTCTTCTGTTATGGGAACAAGTAAATAACTTTTCCTTAATTACTTTTTCCACACCAGTCATGATTTTATAGACCTCTAGCATATCCCCTCTTTTCTAAGCTGAAAAGTCCCCGTCTTTTTAATCTCTCTTCACATGGGACCTGTTCCAAACCCCTCATTTTTGTTGCCCTTTCCTGAACCTTTTCCAACACCAATATATCTTTTTTGACATCTGTACGCAGTATTCAAGATGTGGGCGTCTCATGGTTTTATATAAAGGCCATAAGCTATTTTCTGTGTTATTCACTAACCCTCTTTAAATGACTCCTAACATTCTATTTGCTTTTGTGACGGCCGCTGCACACTGAGTGGATGTTTTCAGAGAACTATCCACAATGACTCCAAGATCTCTCTCTCAAGTAGTTGTAGCTAAATTAGCCTCCATCATATTGTACGTATAGTTGGGATTATTTTTTCCAATGTGCATCACTTTACGTTGATCAATGTGAAATGTCTTTGCCATTTTGTTGCCCAATCACTTAGTTTGTTGAGAGTCTTGAGATGGAAGTTTTATTCAGGTTTGACCCATTCTTCGGTCAGCCAAAACGCAGCTGGAACCCAGACCATGAGAGCTGAGTGTCGAGCGGATTTTTTAAAACTCGGTTGTTATTTTAAAAAATGTCAAATGTCTGTCACGGGGACGTTGGCATGTGCACTGGCTGGCGCATAACAACACAACTTGCAGGTGCATTGCTGCGACAGCCTTGCATAGCCTGCTTTCCCGTTGCTGCAGGACTCGTAGCATGGGTGACAAATAGGCGGGCGGGCAGCTCTTTGGAGGGGAAAAGTTGAAGCGTTCAAGGGTTTAAATGGGTCACAGGGAGGCGGTTGTTTTCCAGGTCACTTGGCAGTCAGTTTCAGTACAAAGCAGCAGTAAAGTCTCCGTGTTAATTTAGAAGCCATCGTATTAATCTGAGTGGGAGTTAATTGTGCCAACTTTCGGGGGGGCGGGTGGATTGGAGGCTACCTCTCCACATCTACCATAAACGAAGTGAGGAAGATGGTTTCTAGTGTTATGCTAAACATCGTTGTCCCCGCCGTGCCCCAGGGCATGACACTGGCAGTGCTTAGAGACGGGAGCCGTGATAAATCAAGCTGTCTGCTTTGTTTTCGGTCGCATCCGTCAAACCCTGAATGCTGTAAATCGACAAGAAGAGACCATGATTGAAACAGCTGCTGGATAGAGCCGTTGCGGCTTTTCTCACTTCTGGCAAATCGAAGGTTGCATGAAAGGGAATTTAGCTCTGTCTGTGCGTCCTGGTTTCCTTTGGAAATTCTCCTCTTTTTGTCCCAAGTATGTTGTGTAGACAACACGGTGGTGGTTCAATCTATATATTTTTCTGAACGAAAAAGATGCAGGAGGGGACATGGCATTTTGCTTGCTTGCCCTCCACATCCTGCCCCCCACAACCTGACTGCAATTTTAAGAAGCCCAGTAAGCAAAAAAAGACACAGAGGTAGGGATCTTCAAGTGCAGGAGAATCTAAGTCTTGTTTGTGGTGGCAAGTCATGCATTTTGCAGGAAAAAGTTTTGTGAGCTAAGTTCAATTCAGTGAAATTCAATTCAATGAAAACAGCAACCAGGAAAAGCTCTGCCTGTCAACACGAAAGGTTTTGTGTGTCTCAGGCAGGTTTTCCAGGAAAAATTGAAGGGCGATTTTGTTGCCCTACACAATTTTATTCCTATGTTCTGGCGCCCATCATTATTGAGTGTGGTTTTAAATCTTGCATTGGACAGCCTGGAGATGGGCAGTGATTTGGCACAGAGGGCCGTGTATCTGCACAGGCAAAATGGTAAATGTTCCCCAAAGATGCACTCACTAGGAAGCAAATGGGATACTTACCGGAATCTGCATTTTTCACTCCGCATTAAATGCTACATACTAGAACAAATGCCATAATGCTTTCCTCAATTAGGGCATGTCTACACGAGGGAACGCTTTCAAAATTACTTAAATTGACTTAACAACTCTCGATTTAACAAAATCGGAATAGCATGTCCTCATTACGGGGAAGCCTTGAAATTAGTCCGAGGCAGGCTCTGTTAATGTAGACGCGCCGCCTCAATGTAGAGCCCTGCTACTGGGGAGTAATTACTTTGAATGACCTTGAGGAGTCGTTATTTCGAAATAACAGCAGTGAAGCGTCCACACGACGGCGATTTCGAAATAACTATTTTGAAATTAGCGTTATTTCTCGGGGAAAGCGGGAGGACAGATTTTGAAATAAGCGGCCCGTTATTTCGAAATAACAGGCTTGGTCGTGTGGACGCTCCACTTACAAATTCGACCTACGGGTGGGTTATTTTGAAATGAAGCCCTAGTGTAGACCAGGCCGTTGGAGTATCCGCTCTGTCTGGTGGGGGTGTTTGGGGAGGAGAAATCCGAGTTGTTTTGCAGCGGGAGGGGGGATGCAGATGTAGTAATTACCGGTTTTATTGTGCATAGCTTTCTTTGTGCCGTCCATTCATGAGAAATGCTGGTTCAGCTGCCAAAAGCAGGCGCTCACGTTGCACAAGCTCCGGAAATTAGGCTGGTGTCCGAATGACTCCCCGGCATGTGACAGCTAAAGTGCTGTCCCATCTCTTCGTGAGGGGCACTTTCTTGTTTGTGACCTAACTGGGTTTCCTAACGCCTGTGAGTACCAGGTCCTCCCTCAATCTCTGTGGGTAGCAGAGACAGGCAGTGCCGGGGCTGTCTCCATCACGGCGACGGGGATTTGGAAAGGCCATTTTCAACCGCTGAGATGCCGGGGAAGGAAAAGATCAGAGAGCAGGTTGTTTTAGGCCAGTTCAGTGGTGTGACTGACACGCCCCATGCCCCCTGGGATCTAGTGGTGACACAAGTGTCGAAGGAGCAGCCGGAGCTGATGTTTCCAGCAAATTCTTTATTTTTCTTAATTGAAAAGCAGAGAACTTTTAAAATTTTGTTTGGGGGTTAATAATCTCATGGTTAAGTGGCCAATGGGCAGACGGCTTGGTAGGATGTGCCATCAGGGAGATGTGCAGAGCCATGCCAGAACCTGCCCTGCCAGTTTACCTTCGCGGCACCCTTTATCCCACCTCTCCCAGCGGGAGAAGGGGGGGACTTGAACCCCCCCCCTTTGCTCGCTCCAG